CCGGCTGATATTTTTTTCGCTATAACCACTTTTTGTATCAAGTGACAACAATGTACGCCTATTTACCTTTAGCTTGGATATGTCCTGTTTGCCACGGTGGTTGCAGATCCAGCTGAAACATGTGTTCGTGTGCTTGTGTTTTTATACGTTAGGGAATCTCACGGTCTCCACCTCACTCTTATCGTAAGTTTTTGTGGTTGATAATTTTAATGTTTGTTTTCACATATAGGATATTTTAGAAGGAATTACGTGCTAATACATTAAAAGAGACAATAGACGGTAAAGACTATGAGAGTACGCTCACGATGGTATAGCAGTGAAATTGTGACTACGAAAGCGACAGCGAGCAGACTCCGGCTGATGACGAACAATTTTTGCTCGCCATTTTCAAGTGAAAATAGCTTTAACGATTCGACTACAAAAAGAACACACTTTTATGAAAAAAATTTAAATGGTCCTTTATGGAATCAACAAGAAATGTGCGTGCAGTCAGCCATAATATAATTCTTACGCTACTTAGTCTGAAAGACGAAGCTCTAAATTCAGGAGATGATGCAAATCCAGTTAAAATTTTGAGCACTTTGTTCATTGAAAAAATAATAACCATTATCGTAACTTCTACGAACAAAAAATTGGAACAAACGCGTCAAAAATACAGCGGCCCAACACGAGTAGATATGAAGAAGGCTAACGATAATCATCAAATTTGATGTTTATAATAAAATTTATAACAAACCAAACATAAATACATACTATAAATAGACTCCAGACTATACCATAAAATTGAAATAAAACAGGTACTAATTCGTATTCTGAAAAAATACTCGGGAGTCTGCGAGACTCCAGATCACACTTAACGTGACAAAAGTGGCACCTCACCTGTTACGGGTTAAGGTGCATTTCCCTAGAACAAATTTTCTCCGGTACATAGGCCGTGTCATATTGAGCAAGTACACAGAATTATGAATAAAATTAATGCAGATTTTAACAACAAAAAATACTGTTCAGCCGCATTTTTCGATGTATTCCAAAGTTTAACATAAAGGTCTGTACTTCAAATTAAAACAGTTCCTTCCTTATCCTCATTACTTTCTTCTGAAATCCTTCCTTTAAAACACATCCATTAAGCATATCGGTTCCACAAGGAAGTGCTTTAGGACCTACTCTCTAGCTTCTGAATACTCCAGATCGACCAACTACAGATGATGTAAGCATAGCAATATTTGCAGATGATACGACCATCTTTACATCCCATGATAATCCAGACATCTCGTCCCAAAATCTCCATATTGAGGATTGGCTAAAAAATTGCGAACAAATGTTAATGAAAGTCCACATATGTGACATTCCGCTCATGTAGAAAAACCTGTTCACCAGTAACTGTCAACAATTTACAAATCCCTCAATCTAATCTAAATACTGGAAAGTATATCGACATCCATTTAGACAGACGGCTCAGATGGCAAGTGTCCATTTTCTCAAAAAGGAATCAAAACAGGCATCAATATCAAACTCAAAGGGTTGTATTGGAGTATTTTGTAGGAAATCTAAACTGTCATTGTCATACAGGAAAGAGTTGGAACAAAGCCTAATCTGTTATCAAACCGATTATGTGTCCAATAATGAGCGAGTTTTTGTTAGTGTAGATAAATTACTCCTAAAAACATGCTTATTGCCTATACCGGTAAATTGCTGTTTTCTCTTAGGAGTTGCACAAAAATATGTGCAGCCAAATGTGCCAGAAATTGGTACAGTCTAGAACAGGTTGGGGAACAAGATCCGGCGACAAAAATGTGCCAAAAAAGTGCAGTGGACATGTGCCGCAGCTCACGTCGCGGATATTTCAGCTGATACTTTTGTATATCATATCGAAGTGCACGCAACTATTGGAAACATACCTTTAGTAGACATAAAAAGATCAACAGTAAGTTCAGCAGACACTAAGATATAATTTATTAAGTGCTACATTGTCTGTTTTTGAAAGTAATGATAAAACTAAACCTTGCAGTCAGAGATTCATGAACATCCATTGTGTTCGATATGCGTAAGTAGAAGTCATCGACGTCATAATACGGCACACGCACATCACAAGCTACTTATGTGCCATTATCATATTATCACGATTACTGAGTACCGTCGGTGTTATTGATCTACAAGAATCAGTTTTGGCCTTGGATGAGTGCAGCTTTCATTTTTCACTTAATAAGGTATTCTGGCCATGGACATTGTACTATGGTGATTCTCACACTTTCGCGGAAAGACAAGTGAGATTAAGTGAGAGGTAGTACATACACCATCTTTACATAAACGTAAAAGTTCAACTTGAATAAAAAGTTGGACTTTCAGGTATTAGGAACTCATCAACCCACCGTTGAGTGTTGTTATTCGCAGTCGATCAATCTGTCACGAGTTTTGTTACCAGGTAATCCCAGTTACCGCTGTGCTAATTAATAAAAAATGGCGTCAAGTAGGTTGATTCTGCACTTCCTACGCAACGGCGTTTTCAGTCCAGAACTGAAAAGTCACTCAAAAAGGTCCATACAATTAGTGCAAAGACATTCTTTCCCTCCCATACCAGTAAAGTATCTAGAAACGTTGTCTCTCCCCCCATACTTTTAAGGGCGAAATACCAAAGTTGGGAGCGTATAGATGTACCTACTAACATAGAAAAATTGAGATAGACCCTCCCCCACCTCTCTACAATCCCCACCCCCAAGTTTTTACATGTATTTTTTTTCAAAAATGGGGATCCTTTGATAGGTTCAATAACGAAGTTTGAGCGATTTTTCTTCTTTTTCGTTTTTAGCCTTTTTCTCTGCCGCCACTGGACGATTTTCAAAAACTACAAAGCTTTTGCGACCTTGGCATAGTAGTAACATTCTGTGAAATATTCATCGAATTCCGAGCGGCACTTCTCAAATTAGATAGCTATCTACCATGTTTACCTATAATGTTTTTCAAGAGGATACTCAAAAAAATATTAAACTCATTCCATCTACAGGGTATCTCACGTAGAACTGCAACGACCGATTACTCAAGACGTTGACGTAAGACAGTTATGAAAATTATAGTACAGTTTATAGTATAACTACTGATGGTACCAGTTAAGCAATTTCGAAATAGTACCACTTCAGGTTGTACCGGAAATAGCACCAACTTGCTTATTTTAAATAGAACGCCATGAATATTATTCAGTTTTTGGATGGAGTGAGATTATGTTTTCCTCGTATTTTTGCCTTTGTCACATGGTTTGCAACGGGTCTTTTGTTGTAGGGGACCTGCTTAAGTATATTTTGTTTTAGATTTAGATAACAACTAGTACAGGGTGGTCAAAAAAGAAAGGAAAGATTAGATTCAAAAACCCAAACATGCAATTTTTTTAAAAGGATACCACTTTTTTTTATAATTCCATCGCATTAAGCAGTGGGAAGATTAGTTTTGAATGAGGTTGTGTACTTCTCAAATTAGTGGTTCAGTTATATGAAAGTACTGATTTTTCTCTTGCTTAAAAATGCTCCATCTTTTTAAAAATTAGTTAATCTCAGTCTGAATGTTTCATGAAATGAGATGTCTAAAAACAACGTTACCAGTTCCTTTTTTGTCAAAAAATGCATTTTTGGTGCATTGTTATGAATGTTTCTTCAATCGCAACTTGTTAACAAATAATAATTGCACAGCTCTTAAATTGCATGTGAATATTCCACCTTTAGATATGTAAGAATTTAATGGGTGATCACTTTCTCTCTTCAGTCTTTTTTTGCTTTTGTGGTCCTACTCGGACAGTACTCGCACAAGATTAGTATCTACTATGCCAGAGACGACAAAAGCTTCAAGGTGTTTGAAAATCGGTTCAGTGGCGGCGTCGAAAAATGCAAAAAACAAAATAAAAATTAAACAAACCTCTATTTTTGAAAATTAGGGGTAAGAAATTGGCGGGTGGGGGTTGTAGTTATTGAGGGGAAGGTGTATGCAACATAAGTATTTTATCTTTGTTATCAAACATTATTCGCACACACTTTTACATCAGAGGCTGCCGTGTACGAAGACGCTTAAGAAGCTCAAATGCCTACGTCTTTTTGATGTCACTGCATACCATATAATATTGTACTAGATGTTGTTTTGAAAGCATGGGGAGTATAGAGTCAATTTGCTTGACGCCATCTTTTTGTCTTTTATTATGAAACATTACCTTAAAAGCTTTTAACACCACAACAAATCACTACTAGTATACAAGCTTATTAAAACTAATACTAAGTGATTTTCAAAAAGGTCCCCTTCACTATTATAAGTACTTGAATCTGAGAACAGTTAAAAAATTCAAAATGCTGTGCGCCATCTTGGAACATTTTTTAAATAGTACGGGGAGTCATGCGGCACCAAATTTTGCATCGCTCAAAATGGCGAACCGGCAGGCTGTCAAACTGAAGCGTTCTTGTACATTGAATAGCTTGTAAGGCAACAACTCATCAGAACGTTATAGTAGGTATACCAAGTTTCTTCTTTTGGATCGTCTATCTGAATGAGCAATAAATGCGTGACGTTGATTAAAAAAATGTTTCAGATTTTGACATTTTTTTCAAACGGGATGTTTCACACTTTACAACATATTCGGATAGATCCATCCAAAAAGAGAAGTGTGATTCACAACTACCACCACTTTTATGCTAAAATATAGTATTCATGCATCGATTTCATAAACCCGAATTTCAGCTTGCTAGCCTGATCCGTTCAAAAACTTGCCATTTGATTGATTGTGCACAAAGCGGCAAAAAAAATTTTTCAAAACAAAAGATCAAGAAAATGCTTAGAAGATCCAAGTTTGAAGATTATTTCTTGGTACTTGCTATTCTATTGTTGAACATTTTTTGTAGATGCAAAATCAATAAAATTACCTAAAATGCAATAAAATTACAAAATCGTAACTTTCAGTTTTCATAAATAAAATTGACGAAAAAGGTTCACTTCCTTCATAAAGAAAATTTATAGAAAAAATTACTTACCAGTAGAATAATCTGGAGATTATATTCGACTCATCTTCAGGAGATGGGTTCTCGTACTTTTTACTGAAATCCATCTTTTATTCAACATTAATATGGTTCACCGGCTATCCTTTCTTCAGGCCTCACGTCCAGTGCTTGCAGCTTCCAGTCATGTTTCCACCGTGTGTACAGACATTAAGATTTGTCCGGCATGTTAAAAAGCTGAGCTAGTTAAGGAATTGAGGTCTGCTAGATCGAGAAAGAGTGACGAGCTATAAGACCGCGGCTTTGTGTGCGAGTTGACTGTCAACGATGAACTGATCACACTAGGCAGCAAAAGCAGACGCAATGGCAGTGATCGGTTGAGAGCTTTGCTACTATCTCTCCTCCCGGCTAGCTGCTAGCTGATAAGGAGATTGTATGTGGATTAGTCATAGGCATGAGAGGAATCGGTGTTGAGAGAGTCCAGTGGCGCCACAATGCATAGTAGGGATTTAAAAAAACATAAAGGGTGTTTTCAAAATATGGGTGGATTTTGAGTGGGCGAGAAGGAGACGCTCAAATCTGCCATTTTTGTCAAGAAATTAATTGTTTCCGTCACGCCACCACCCCCCCCTGCTCTTCAATTTTTAATCGCCGATAACTGTACCTATGTTATGTGATGTCTCCCCAGCCCTACCGACAGTACCGACCATCATCTGGCAACCCGTCCCTTAAAGACCGCGGCACAGGTATATCCTGATACAAAAAATTGAAGCATGGTCTTCTCCATCCCTTACAGATCTCAATTTTTAACCCCTACAAACATTTTTCTCAATCTTCAAAAAATGAAGTTCGATCGATTTTCATTCTTTTCGCGAAAATTTTTCGTCCTGGGCATAGGGAAAATTTCATCAGAATCCGAGCGGTACCGGAATCTTAGAAAGTTACTATAGTGTCAAAAGTTCAAGAGTTATCAAAGAAAAACCCTTTTCAAGTGGCGTTCTTTAGGGACACGTTGCTTGCCCAAAGTATCAGCCCTTGAATCTTTCACTCATGTTTCGGAAACACCCTGTATAAATGTTACTTCCACTCGGGCCTCAAGATGTCATATAGACCAGACGTTCTCAAACTTATTTCATCTACCTCATTTGTGAATCATATTATTTGCTAGCGCCTATTTACTTTAATTTACATATATCTAGTGGGTCATATGAATCTTAAACTCAAATTAATTGTCCATTGCATCGCCACCCCCTCTCCCCGTCCAATTTCCTCTAAGCCGCGCCCCATAGGACCCTAGTACCGAGAAGGTGGCGTTATCGCCTGCTTTGAGACTGATATAGACCAATCAACAAAATATGTATGCACAGTCCACGAATAACAAAACGAGTGGGACCACGAAAGCAGATTGTTCATAACATGAATAGTTATATGCATATACCCCAAGACTCGTATAGAAAATATCAATTGCATTATACTGACAATTTGTCTCTAACAGTGTCCTAAAGTGCAGCCTACAGCCCTAAACGATTTTTGACAGAATTACAGATAACGTTAGGCACCTGCTCATGTTCTATATGCGGCTGCCATTCCTACCAGCTTTACAGAGACTTGAAGTGTGTTTCGCTGAAACCGGATTAGACACACTAGTTTTATTATACATGGTTTATCATCAAAGTATGAAATACCGGTCCGGGTCTACGTTCCATGATAGTATAACAACACAATACACGTGCTACTAAATGACCTACCCCAGGTATTGATCCAATTCTCCGAGTGTTTCCGATGCACTAGCCCGAACAAAATACAAGCACGCTCAAATATTAATGACAGATTTCAACAATCGAGAATAACTTATGAAACAAATATTTTCGAGAGAAAAGAATCGAGGCTCCGTTTTTATAAATAGGATTTGCAAATAAAGGACCCGAGTCTGCGTGGTTGGAGGTGTTTGAACTTTGAACTGGTCTGTGAATACCGGGGGTGCTCGGAAATTTCCTCATCTCGAATAATAATCGAAAATCTACCAAGGACGATCGTATTCTACCTGAAGATAACCTCTTCCCAATAGTATATTCCCGCGTCTGAAAAATTATTAGAGATAAAATGAAATACCGAAGCGTCATTATGAGAATTTGTCACAGCTATGTTTCTCTTCTCCGCACTTATTAGAAATCTACTTTAAAATTGGTTAGTGTCTCATAAAAGCCGATGTATATTTCAAAGTAGATTTCAGGTTACTGCGAAGAGGAGAAACATACCCTTGGCAAATTCTCGTGGATAACGCCACAGTAACTGATTTCATCTCTGATAATTTTTTGGAGGCGGGAATAATAATAATAATAATAATAATAATAATAATAATAATAATAATAATAATAATAATAATAACGGGTCTTTATTTAGGGTGAAGTTTAGCAGTCGGCTATTCTTCCACTTAACAATAAAGTATTAGGTTTGCTATCTCCAGGCAGAGTATGTTAATCAATGGTTCTACCAAGGACCAGGATAAAAGAGCAATTATTATATAAGAGGGCTGTAATTTCTCTTGCTATGAACATGCTAACCATTTCATAATAGTTTATGGTATGAATGAAACTAATCACTATTTTTTCAACATGTCGCGCCATTTGTGTTTACGCTGAATGACTGCACACTATGTCCTAGATCGCTTCTCTATACAGGGATCTCGGCTCCTGTTATACCTACATCAAAGGTTAAATAGGGAACGTTTTAGAGGAAACTCAGTGCATTCGATAGCCGGCTTCAGATTTAAGATCGGTCATTTGGTTTTGGAAATATAGGCGAAAAACCTAAAATGTCGAATTGTTTGCCAGTAAATCCGAAATGTCCCAATCGTCTTTTGTTTTCCCGCAACCTGCTTCAACTTTTATTTTTCTTGTGGCCGCAATATTGGATTCTTCGATTTTTGAAAAGAGCCTAAAATTTCCAGCCTGGTGATGCCTCACAAGTTCATAAAAGAATGGAGCATCATCAAAATATCATCACACGTAATGTTGTATTATTTTTTTTTCTGATGCCATGATTTATTTGTAATAAAACTAGTAAGTAGCGCATTTTCTTCGTCTAAGGCGGCTCTGACTTTGGCGTTAAATAATTCAAAGTGTTAAAATTGCGGTTTAATAAGTAGTAGGTGCATTTTCTCTCTCTCATTAAAATAATAAATCTGGTAAAAAATTGTCAAAACAGTGGCCGGTATCCCCTACTCAAATGAAGACCGAACGACGGTAGCCTCATAAAACCCAATTTAGAAAAATAGTAGTTGTAAGTGCTATAGTAGGAAGTTTAATGAACATCCCGATTTTGTAAATCATGTCTTGTAATCCGATGAGTAGTTTTACGAATTGTGGTGTTTTTAATAAGTACAACACTCATCGTTGGGCTCTGGAAAACCCTCACGAAGTGGCAGAGAGACGTCTACAGACCAGATTCGAAAGTTTGGTGTAGTGTCATTGGTAATTTATTCTAACTTACCTTTTCTAATTGGGCACATGTTTGAAATTAGGTATTAATCATTGTGCCGGCTTTACGAGCTATAGTCTAACCGAAGATGATTTTAGAACAACCTGGTTTCAACAGGATGGATGTCCGGCTCACAACCCCATTGAAGTCAGGAACTTCTTAAGCGAGCAGTTTGATGGAAGAATAATTTCATTAGATGGGTCAATATCTTGGCCTGACCTTTCACCCTCGGATTTCTACCTCTGGGGTCACAAAAAGAATGAGGTCCATGAATTTGATCCTTCCGCGACTATAGAAATCCTGAGACAAAGAATTTTAGGCACAGTTAGAAACATTAACAGAAATACACTAGCTGAGGTTGTACGAAAAACAGTCACCAATTGTCAAAAATCTCTGGATGCAAATGGATTTTGCAAATCTGTAAATTAATACCCACTTACATAGTTGGATTTTACATTACATTACAATTTTGTAAAATACTTGGTTGTTCAACTAAGTATAAAATAAATTTACGACAATTTTTCTTGACTTGTTTTTTCAGCACACCCATAGTTTTGAATTTTAAAAAAAGAATTGTTGGGAAGTTGATATTAACGTTAATATTCTATTGAAATTTCAAGGCGTCTGTGTGTTTTTTATGCTTTATTCGTTAATGTTATTTTCTGACAATTAAATCATGGCCTCCTTAGAAAAAACTAATCCATAACATTGCGTGTGATGATATGTCGCTTATACTCCAATCTTTTATGCTCTTGTAAGACAGCTAGACTGGAAATTTTACACTTGTCTCAAAAATCAAAAAATCCAATATGGCGGCCAAAGAAAACAAAAGACGATTGAGACATGTCATACAAGCTATCTTTTTTTCCTTAAAAAAAATGTCCGAAAAATGTCGCATTTTGACAGCTGTCAAATTAACCGTTTTGCATGTACTGGCAAAAAACAAATTCCGTCATTTTCGGTTTTTCGCTGATATTTTCAAACCCAACTGATCGATCGGAAATCTGAAGCCGGTTATCGAAAGCACTTCCTCTTAAACTCACCCCATTTAACCATTGCTGTACGTATAACAGGAGCCGAGATCCCTGTATAGATAAGCGAATCTGGGACACACTGTATAGCATTGCTACGCCACTGACTTATTCCAGTCTCTATATCTGTGGCGAAATTTTTGGTATAATTACGGTATCAATTATACTGAATGTAAAAACAGGTCCTTTATATACACTTATGCAAAATACGTCAGTCACATACTTATTTAGACACAGCGAATGTACCTACTTAATCACAACTGTCGAATTAGAAACTTATGCTAAATGATAGTAAAAGAGGTCTGTAACATCAGAACAAAACAGGCCTCTGCTTCAAAAACCAGATTCAGCTGATTATATCTCGTACTGTTATCTCAGATAAACGCATTTTACAATGGCAATGATCGTTTATATAAAAAATAAGTCGGGTAGACTAACTCAGTACTTACCGGGCTCTAATTTAATCGACTGTGTCATTTTATACAGCGCTTTTCAGAAAGGTCTGCCGTACTTATTTTTTGAACGGAACAACCTAGGAAGCTGAAATTTTGGTTGATGGGATTGATGCATATTATATTTTAGCGTAAGAATCACAGTTGAGAATTGCATCTTGCAACATTTTTTTGATCGGAAGGAGGGTCATGCGATACCTCATTTTGAAGCTCCTTATTTATGACTACTTTACCTTGGAATATAATATCACTATCTTAGAAAACTGCGGACAAGCAGACTTCAAAGTTATTCACTGCGAATTGTCGCATTATAAGAGATTTATCGCCTAAAGTTCGACAACTAATTATGAAAATTTATATCAATCTCCTTTCGGAAGAGTCTATATGAATTTGCAATAAAATGTCACAAAGTCAGGTTTTGACAAAGTTGTTTCTTAAAACTTAATTCTCGGACAGACGCTTTCAAACTGTAGCGTTTTGAGTATTTTTTGTTGTTATACGACTCAATTTACAAAACCGCTCGACTCTGACAGCATACCAGCTCGTGATTTTGTAAGAGTGATTTAATATCCAAGGGTTATAAATTACTCACATTTCACTTAAAATGTTCCTAAATAGCGCCCAGCCGCCATCTTGAAATTTTCAACTGCAACTTTGACGTTAAAATACAGTATTCATACAACAGTTTCATTTCCCCGACTTCCAGCTTGCTAACTTGACCCGTCCAAAAAATAAGTACGGGGGCTTTTTTGAAAATTCTCTGTATACATACGAGTGATAACTGGTTCTACAATGCCTTATCACACATAAATATGTTACTACGTTTTTAAAAAACGTCGTATTTGCTGACTAAAAAAATGGGTATGTGGGTGAAAAGCAGTTTGTTATTAGTTTTGTGACACCAAAATACTTTTTATGTCTACTGCCCTCTAAACGACGGTTTTCATTTTCATTAAGGTATCTTCTCTTGTAGTTAAAATGGTTTACAGTGGCTTTGTCACGTATACGTATATTGACTACAAGTATCTGAGACAGACTGCAAATATACACTCGACAAGAGTTGAGTAGAGATAGTGTAAAGTGCAGAAAACAGAAATTAGCGTGCCTACCTACATAATATCTGGTAGAAGAATATTGGACACTCGATCACAATCACCCCCAAACCTTTTATGGTAAAGAGCACCGAACACAGAGAAGCAAGACGGTGAGACTGTCTTTTTTTGGTTTTACTCATGTGCATATCCGTGCTTTTTATATGCTTGAACTACCACGGAGGCCTAAGGCCTAAACACCAATGGGTAGCGTGATGCTATAGGGGATACAGCGGAAAGAGGGAACGGCACACGAATTCTACCGAGGGAGCACGTGTGCATGCAACATGCACAAATCCTGGCCCCGCCTTAGAGATCCGCCGGGTGGTACCTCCGCATTCGACAACCAGAGACCATCTACCACCTACGTATGTTCGGGGGTTTTCACGTATTTTTCAATAGCAGTTATGTGTTAGTGGATATACGAGGGATGTCTTTTAAGTTTTGCATGCGGAAATAAAACAACATGGTAGGTAGTTTTAAATGACTTTATTGTTTTTCGAAGTATTCTCCACGAAGATTAATACAAATCTGCATGTGCTCGAACCAATTTTCGAAGCACTTATTCCACTCGTTTGCTGGCAGATCCAAAACGACATTTTTGAATGCGTCAACTGCTTCTTCTGGTGACTGGAACCTTTGACCACGCTGTCAGTTTTGAATTTTCGTGAAAGTAAAGAAATCGTTAGGACTTAGATCGGGACTATATGGAGGATGATCCAATAATTCCACGTTTTCTTCGGTTAAATACTGCCTTGTTTTTTGGGCTGCGTGCGAGCTTGCGTTGTTTTGGTGGAGGATGATTCTTCTTTCGGGGTTGATTTTTCGAAGCTCGGTGATGACTTTTGGCAAACAAATCGTGGTATACCAATCCGCAGTAACAGTTATTTGCTCATTAAGGGGAATTGTTGCAATATGACCCGCTTTTGACACAAATGTCGTGACCATCCTTTTCGAAACAGTTCGAGAACGGATTTTGTTGGCTTTTCTTTACCTTGGAACACCCAAACAGACGACTTTCGTTTATTTTCTGATTCATAACAGTAAAGCCACGATTCATCACTACGAACAATGCTGGCTGCTTTCTGCTCTTCAGTCAACAGGTGGGGTATCCAACGAGAAACTAATTTTCTTACTCCTAATTCTACATGTAATTTTTTTTGAATTGAGGTCTTTGAGATCTTCAAGGACGCCTCAATCTCGCGATATGTCATATGTCTATCTTCAATGATGAGTTTGCGCACAGCATCGACGTTTTCCTGGGTGACTGCCGTTTTTGGTGCACCCACCCTGGGATCGTCGCTAAGACTCCCTGGTCCACGTTTGAATTCTCCATACCAACGGGATATTGTCGACTGATGTGGCGCTTCGTTGCCGAAAGCAGACAGTAACTCAGCAAGGCATTCTTGTTGCGATAGTCTCTGAAAGTTGTAATAAATTATGGCGCGAAAATGTTCTCGGTTGAGTTTTCCATTTTTCTAATGACTTGGTGACACTTAAAAATTCACTGTAGTGAGAACACTGCACATATTGTTGAGAGACTTTGAATGTAGGTTTACTAAAGAGTGAGGTTAAGATTCAGTACTGACGTTCGATCCGCGCGGCCTACTATGTTTCTATATGCAAAATTTAAAAGACGTCCCTCGTATAGTTGACAATTTTCAGGACAATTTATTTTTAATTGTCGTCACTATATATGTATCAGGTTGGAAATAAAAAAATGTTTTTCATATCGCTTGTAATTACTGGTGTCAAGTGATGAACACAACTCGTTATAAGTCTCGTGTAACGATATTTAGATATTTGGTCCAATATAAATAGCACAACCCATGATTGATCTTGAACTTGTGCTTACACTATTTAATTAGGTATATACTCGTGTTACTGAGCTACGCACTGTTAGAAGGATCAGTTCACATTATGGTTTGATTCTGCAGGAGGTAATTCAAGTTTTTTCAGGGAATCTTGAGAAAATGTGAATTCTGATTCCCTATTTGGAGTATTGTTTTCAATTTTATATGTCACATTTAAATTGCGTTATCTTATCATTGAATCGATATTTCTTTTGATAAGTACTAATTCCTGTAATGCCACATACCTGTACGTGTTCCTTGAGGCGCGCAGACCTCCAGAGAACAATCCGGGTCCTGAAACATCTGTAAAACAAAAATTGCCTTAGACTGTATCAAATACTTATAAATATTACCTTTTGAGCCAAGTTACTGTACATGAACACTTACTTTAAGTTCCGGGGCCCATTTGACCACTCTACTCCGGGGAATGCTCCTGTGTTCTTCCCTTCTCGACAAATCAAGTAATTAAAGAAGTATAGCAGAACACAATCAGAAAGCCATTTTTAAATTACCAAATGATGTTATATCAAGTTCACAGCAATTTTTACAGGGTCAATAACTTGGTACAATACAAAATGTATCACGTCTCATTTAGCTTAATGGATTTTTTATAAGGTTCGATCCATTTTTATTATCGCCATATGGATATCACGTTACTGCTTCAAGGTTAAGGCCAATTTAGCGAAAAAGCTAAAAAGAGCCTGGTGCTTGCTTGCTAAATAGTATCTGATGAAAAATTCTTGAATAACAATATATTTCTAGGCATATCTTTAAGTTTCCATCTATTTTTGTGGACTGTCCTGTCTCATCAAACACTTCCATATGCGAGGAAATTTGAACAGAATGTGAAATTAATCTGCTGAATACAATAACTCGAATAATCGCCATACATGGCAACTTTCTAGAGATGCGAATTGAAATTGTTGACGGTATGCACGAGCTTGCCACGCTGTCTGGTGATCTCGCAAAATTATACGAATTTCATTTAAATAGTTATTTTCATGTTCTCAACCTTTCCACGGATTTAGTCTTTGATGTTTTTTATCTTTGTAATTTCAAGTGCTGTTTACACCGATTCGCAATTAAACAAAGTCAAGCAAAGCGTCCGCAGCTCTCCAGTCCTGAGGGGTACCCAATACATAATATCCACAAATAACAAATACTTACCTCAGTATTGTCGCACTGTGCATTCAAGACATATACAGGGTGGCCAATCCATGTGTGAGCGGGATATTACTCATAAACAAATACATTTTGGGATGCTATACATGACATTTGAGAGCACATTTATAAAATACTGGCTATTATTAGGGTGTCCCAATTTCGACCTACATATCAAAGTTGTGATTTTTCAAATGTAATGCCTCCAGTTTTACTGCATATTTGGATAAACCAATTCAAAAGAAGAAAATTGATATACATACTATTGGGTTTTGGTAATTAGCTACTGAGATATAAGGTGAAGAGTTTAGAAAAACCCCCCGTTTGGGCAACCCCACAGTCCGCCATTTTGAAATTTGAAGTTCTAAATTTGGAATCAAAAAGAACTTACACATCTCAGCTTTTACCTTATTTGCTACTTTTTCGAATTTTAATTTTTGCTCATACATGGTGGTCAAAAACGCAAATTGTAGTTTTTCTCAAAAATTTAAAATGCATCGCCCTGTATATTTATTCAATTTTGATACTAGACAGATAAGGGTTCTTACGGCTATTTTTTCAGTTATTAGCACGTCTTTTATGAAACGGCTTAATTCCCTAAAATATCGCATCATCCTTGGAAACAAATAAATTGTTGATTAGTTACAAACTATCAAAATTAGCTTTGCGAGCATTATAATAAAAACGTGTTTGAAAATGAATTTTTCTAAAGAAAAAATGGTGGATATGGTGTTCGTTTTCCTAGCATCTTGCATTTATAAGCAACGGTACCCAAATATGCGACATCCAAGGCCGGAAACATTTTCCACACTACGAGGACGTTTTGAATCAAGTGGAGCAGTGGAATATAGTAAAAAATGTATAAATAATCCAAGTGTCACCAATGAGGCGAAACAGTTGGAGGTTCTATTAAAGTTGCAGGAAAATCTCCATTTAAGTGCACGGCAAATTGGAGCAGAAACTAATATGTGCAGAACTCTGTCCAAAGAATTATTCACAAGCTTAGGTAGCATACACATCACCTATGCTTGCATCAAGGCCTTCGTACTCAGGATTTCGCAGCTCAAATGGAGTTTAGTAGAATAATGCTAAATAAAGTGAACTTTTAACAGCATAGGTGGTGTCAACATGCATATCAAGCACTATTATGCGACGGAAAATCCTTACTAGGTTAGGCAAATAGATTTCCAAAATAAATGGAGCTTGAATGTTTAGGGAGGAGTTGTTGGCAGATAAGTTATTGGGCCTTTCTTTTTCGACAACAGATTAAGAGGTACAGAATACTTGAATTTTTTGATCGAGCATTTGTCTTTGCTTTTGGAGGATGTCAACCTGCAAACTCAGATGCATATGTACTTCCAACATGACTGCGCACCTGCGCATTATCATAATCGTGTCCATAACTATTTGGACACCTGGAGTTGTAATCGTTGGATCGGTCGTGATGGGCCTATATCTTGCCCTCCTAGATCACCAGATATGACACCGATGGACTTCATTCTATGGGGCTACGTTAAGCAAGAGGTTTATAGATATCCACCATCTACCCCGGAAAATATGAAAGAAAGGATTAAGGATGCTTTTGTGAACATAAGGGAACACATACTGAGGGATGTGCAACGGTCATTTATCCAAAGACTAGAGCTGTGTATTCGACAAGGTGGAGATATTTTCGATCAGTTTTTGTAGATTAGGTCTTGAGTAGTCATACTTGTTTGTTTATGTTGTTGTTATACTTATTTTTCTCTATTACGCTTGAAGCTGATTTATACTGTTCTGATTGTTATTAGTTTTTACGTCAAATCTGTACTCTTAGTGGCAATACGGAACTGGCCACTGTTTGTCTTTTGTTTCCATGGATGAGGTGATTGTTTTCCTTAATTTTGGTGTGTTGTTCTATTAAAAGCTTAATAACTCAAAATCTAGCGATTTTATCTGAATCATACCTTATACCAAAAAAAGCTTATAAAAAATTGAATCCACACTTGCACAGGGTGATGTATTTGAAATTTTTGAGAAAAAGTACAATTTGCGTTTTTGACCACCCTGTATGAGCAAAAATGAAAATCCGAAAAAGTAACAAACAATATAAAAGCTGAGGTGCGTAAGTTTCTTTTATACAAAATTCAGCACTCCATATTTCAAAATGGCGGACTGAGGGGTTGCCGAAGTGGACGGTTTTTCTAGGCAAAACACCTTACATCTCAGTAGCTGATTACCAAAGCCAGATAGTATGTTATATCAACCTTCTTCTTTTGAATTGGTTTATCCAAATATGCAATAAAATTTGAGGCATTCCATTTAAAAAATCACAACTTTGATATGTAGGTTAAAATTGGGACACCCTGTATAATTGCCAATATTTTAGAAACGTGCCCTCAAATGTCATGTATAACCTGCCATAAATAGATTTTCTCAAAGTGTATTTGTTTATGAGCAATATTCCGTCCACACATGGATGGGCCACCCTGTATAATAAATATACTCAACAAACATAAAAACATTCGCAGCGCAAAGTCGCAACGTCAATGAACCTGACTCACCTTGTCGTGAACTATAGTTTGTAAGATAAGAACACGAGACTTGTTCATATGATATAATCCTAACAGATGCCACACCTCTATGGTCGGATATACTTCTATTACGAATCGCATGGGCTAAACCAAGATTATTGGGATAAACAGTTCATGAAGGGTAGAAAGTGGTTCATAGGGTCCCAGCTACACACTTTCTGGAAGATAAACATACTTTTCCTTTCCTGGAGAAAAGTTAAGGGGGAAACATATTGACGT